TAAAATTAGGAAGCATTGATTAAAGCGAGACAGATTTCAGAATCGGTTACGACTTACTGAATTATATTATTTTATTTTATCATTCTAATTATCTCTAGTGTGCATTTAAATTAAGCTGACGATTTATGTATGCCATACGGAAATCAACGGAGAGTCACAATGTTGCAAAAAAACGTTACACTTGGACATTCTCTAGCATAGTTATTTTCTTGAGTCTATACCTATGTGGCGGATTCATCTCTCCAAAAAAATCCTTTATGGGTATTCCGCCACTGCACTGCAAGAAAATCTACAAAATAAAATAGTTATTTTTTGTAAACACTTCTGCTTTAAACCTAAACGGACACTGCTTGTCAGAAGTTAGGTTTACAGTTATACAAATTTGCCTAACAAAGAAAAAAATGCTTAATGTTTTGGAAAGTTTATCTCTTTCAGTCGTGGGAAGCAAAAAAAATACAAAGAATAAAGAAAAAAACTATTTAAAATATTTAAATTCAACTATTCGAGAACGCTTTAATTTTTTAAAACAGATATAGTTCAGTCATTGGGGATTTTTGTTTGGAAAAAAGTCCGGAAGTTTTGCAACTTTGCAGGTTTATAGGTTTTGGGGTCCCTAACTAAAATCCATAAAATGCACATTTCCAGACTTTCTTGCCAAGATGGCGCCCAAAATCGGTATTTTGTGAATATCTCGAAAACTATGCGTTTTTCGCGAAAATTTGAAGAGAGCAAAATTAAAGAGAATAAAATTTCCTATAAAAAAGGTTTTATGAAAATTTTTGCTAAAGTCAACCGTTTAGGCACAAAATCCCTGGAAATTTTACAATTTTGCGTAAAATATGATATATTATGTATAGTCGATTTTCCGAAATCAAATGTCGATTAGGGTTCACTAAAACTAGTTTTAGTTTAGTTTTTTCAATTTTGTCATGAAACAGTGGCGTGTCATTAATTCGCTCATTAATTTATGAATAATTAATTTTAATTATTGAAAATGTGTACTTGTTTCCACACCACCCAAGGTAAAGTACATGGCGCGTTTATTTTAACGTGGTCTCCCCGGAGGCCTACTGCACTAGGTAAATTAAAAACTTTAACTTATCTGCGCAAACCCGACGGATCTGGCTCATTGATGTCAAAGTCGATTGTGTCTGCTGTGCTGGGCTCATCAGGGTGGTCTCTCAATACGTCCAACTCTTCATCTTCAGCCGCCAGAGGGATATCTACAGGCAAGTCCAACTCCTCTTCATCGGACTCATCGAATGACACTTCAGTGACGTTGTCACAGGATTTCCCATTGCAGTATGCACAAATCATTGAACATTTTAATCCTGCTTTTCTGCATCCGCAGGCTTTACCACAGTTGTTGGTTTTGCATTTACAGGATAAAAATGCCAATAGGGATTTTGGAGCTGGATCTTTCAGCGTTGTGACTGGAGTAATGCCTGTTTTTGTTTTCTTCCAACCCCATTGTTCGGCATCTTTGGTACAACCAGACCAATGCTGAACCTGGTGGTAAGTTCGCAATGAATGCAGTCCAGCACGACAATTAATTATTCATAAATTAATGAGCGAATTAATGATACGCCACTGTTTCATGACAAAATTGAAGAAACTAAACTAAAACTAGTTTTAGTGAACACTAATTGATATTTGATTTCGGAAAATCGACTATATATACATCATATACAGTATTGGCCAAAAGTGGATGAACCAATACCAATAATTGCGAAGAAAATCAGATTTGAGGTGTTAAATATCAAAATTATTTTATGTACCTTTGCATGTTAAAAGTTTAATACATTCTCACCAAAATACTACAAACAAATATAAATTCTTCTGTTAGTCTTATCATTTATAGATAAGAATTGGCAAATATTGCTTTTTTGTCTTGGACAAAAGTAGATGAACCAAATATTTTTAAAAATCGTTAGTTTCATTTATTCTGCTTTTATGAACAATTGCGATTTAAAAACATTTGAGCTCTTGTGATATATCATGCCATGTGGAATTAACTTGTCTGCAGATCTTAAGTTGCGAGTAGTGAATGATTTTAAGGATGGTTTGAAGCAATCGGAAATCGCTAAGCAATTACGCCTTGGAAAATCAGCGGTACATTATATTTTAAAGAGATATAATGAAAGAGGAGTTGTCTCTATAAAAAGAAAACCAGGACGACCTAAAAAAGTTGGTCCCAATATGATAAAAGCCATAAAACGAATTTCTTTACAAGATCCATTTTTGCCGTCAACGAAGATAAAAGCAAAACTTGAAGAAATGGGCTATCTACCAGTGAGTACAAGGACGATCCGACGTAAATTAGTTGACCAGAAGTTGTTTTCCCGAAGACCCGCCAAGAAACCACTGCTATCAAAAAAAAAAAAAATTTGAAGGCCCGATTAGCATTTGCCAAGGAATATCAAAACTGGACTGTGGCACAATGGAAAAAGTTTGTTTTAGTGATGAATCAAAGTTTAATTTGGTGTCATCAGATGGAATTCAACATGTAAGAAGACCTCCCAACACACGATTGCTACCAAAGTACACGCGACCCACTGTAAAACATGGTGGGGGCTCAATCATGGTATGGGGGTGTTTTTCTGGGTATGGATTGGGCCTTTCCATAAAATTGAGGCATAATGGACCGGTTTGGCTACAGAGACATTTTACAAAAACTTTTAGTGCCTTATTTTGAGGAAAAAATGCCAGTTGTACACTACTTCCAACATGATAACGACCCGAAACATGCCTCACAATTGGTTAAAAGGTTTTTGGAAGATGAAATGGTGACTGTTCTCAAATGGCCATCGCAATCCCCAGACCTGAATCCAATAGAAAATTTTGGGATCAACACATTAGGACCAAATTCTACAAAAATAAGCAAGAATTATTTGCAGCTTTGGAAGAGTCTTGGAAAAAATATCGATTTTTCTATAATTGAAAATCTTCTGGGATCCATGCCTAAGCGATGTCTGAAAGTAATTAAGAATAAGGGTTATTACACTAAGTATTAGGAAATTATAAGTTAATTTTTCAGTTTTTGTTAACATAAGATTTTTTTATTAAATATATATTTTGTTCATCTACTTTTGTCCAATAGTTTTTTCAATTTAAATTTTTTGCTACCTTATTAAAGCACATTTTAAAAAAACAATGCTATTTATTTTTATAGCACTGACACTAGACTTCAAGTAAATATAGTTCAAATTTTAATTTTAAACATATTAGGAAAAACCCATTATTTTAACAAAGTTCATCCACTTATGGCCAATACTGTATATACTTTACACAAAATTGTAAAATTTCCAGGGATTTTGTTCGTAAACGGTTGACTTTAGCGAAAATTTTCATATAACCTTTTTATAGGAAATTTTATTCTCTTTAATTTTGCTCTCTTCCAATTTTTGCAAAAAACGCATAGTTTTCGAGATATTTACAAAATACCGATTTTGAACGCCATCTTGGCAAGATGGCGGCGCCGGCGGCAAGTCTGGGAATGTGCATTTTATGGATTTTAGTTAGGGACCCCAAAACCTATAAACCTGCAAAGCTTCAAAACTTCCGGACTTTTTTCCAAGCAAGCCTCTTTTTTGATCCCCAATGACTGAACCAATACGTCTAGAAGAAACCGTTGACGTTCTGTTAAAATGAATTTTGTAGATTTTCGTGAAGTGCAGTGGCGAAATACCCATAAAGGATATTTTTGGGAGAGATAATCTGCCGATTTTCACAAGCTTAAGAAGCTAAAATTATCAATAAAATGTGGTGCTGAAAACTATATATTTCTAAAAAATCTTCTATATGATCACTAGGGTTCAGAACCGGGAAATCCTGGTAATTCCGGTACCGGAATTTCCGGTTCTTTTGAGACATCTTTTGAAAACCATGAAGTGATTTTTTAATTTTAATCATGTGATTTAAATAAAAAAAAAATTTTATTGAAACTTTATAAGTCAAAAAATTAATGTAAAAGTTATAAAAATGTGTCCTAGAAAACTAGAAAAAATATTTCTATAACAGATATAACAGATGATAAATCGAAAAATAATTGTAAATATTATAAAACTATATAAAAATATTTATTAATAAATTTAAGCGTTGGACCGATTTTTGAAGTAATTTCGTGTGAATCCACCGCTAAACTCTGGGATTTATTTTAAAATGTATGTATAAGTGACAAAAATTCACCGTTCGAATACATATCATTCGCAAAGTCTAGTGCAGAACTAGGTTCTTCTGATATAGAGACTATATCTTCATTCCCGAGAATCTATAATCGTTGTCAGAAAATGTGTTGTTTTATTTCTATTTTTTTGAAACGATTGTATGTTTACACTTTGACATTAGATAATACATACTAATTTCATTCTCAACTTAAGACTATTTCCGAACAATAGTGTATTGTTTTATTAGGAGTAAAAATTATACTTTTTTGACGATGCTGTACCTTTGAAGGACCATCGTAAAGCTATTCCGACGTTACAGGGAGGCACGAAAAATACATTTTTACTCCGAATAGAACATACTAGTTCTTTTAAAACATTACAAATTATTTTTTAATCAATTTCAAACATTGCAAATAATATGAACAGTAATCGAGCAAGAATTTGTACACTCGTTGAATTTGACACTTAATATCAGTTTAATAATATATTTTTCTACTTTTGTGCTTAGGCGTAACTTAGGCGTGCTTTACTTTTATGCCTAGGTGTTAAAATGCCAAAAGTTAATATGTTTGACATGTTTGAAAAAAAAATCCTTTTGATCTGAAGCGAGCCACTTTTTTGCGGAATAGAATGACACGCGCCGTAGAATTGTTAATGTTATCGGTCTCGGGCAGAGTTATAAAGATTTGACTATTTAGGATAAGACTTTAATTGGAAATAAGTCCTAGTCATTTGGAAACCCGTCTTAATATTGTTTTGAATTAAAATTAAAAAAATCTGATTTAAATAAAAAAAATCTGATTTTGTTAAAAATTTCGTCAGCTTCATACTTACATTATATCTGTTCTTCTCCTTCAACAGCTTCAACTCGTCGCAACTATTATTGTTCGCCTGCACCCTCTTCAACCACCCGGTCTCACCATTTTCCTGAAGCTTCGCCCTCAAATCCGCTATCGTCCGAGGCATGGCGCCCGCTGTGTGCGTGTGAGACCTCCTCAGACCGGAAGAGGCTTTCCTGGGACCCTTGGTTCCCTCCTCCGCCCCCAAACTGAAAGGTTCCTGGAACGAGCGAGATTCCTCGACAGATCGGTCACATGCCGGAGAGGGAAGGCGGAGGGTTGAATGGAAGCTCGGGCTTTTGGATAAGACGCCTTCTAGCTGTTGTCTGAAAGAGGAAGATGAGTAGAGGTTAGAAAAAAAAAAGATTGTTAGAAATTGTTAAAAAGAAAGTCAACTGACTAAATTAACGCCCCGGCAGTATAGACAATAATTGACGAAGGAAACACCGCCGGTAGACGGTTTTATATACAGGGTGTTCCAGAAATGAGTGCAAATGTTTTAACTGGTAGTATATTTCGGCCTCTGAAACACGCCTATTGGGTTTTTTTGCAAAAATTTTTTTTGAAAATTTTGGAAGTGGCATATATACTTTTTTAGAAAATGATAACCCATATGCACGTCCCTGGTAAATATGGTGACACTTTTTTAGCATTAAAATAATATGTAGTATTTATTGTAACTTTCAAAATTTCATTGGAATCGCTAAAAGTACTTGAATGAAAATTATAATAAATCGAAAAAAAATTAAGACTAACACCCTGTAGCCACGAAACAAAGCAGAATCGGACCTATGTTCTACAACCTATGTCGCCATAATATCGAGATATTAGGTTTCTTAACTAAAAATTAAAAAAAAATCCGAAATTTCTTTCGAAAAATACCAAATTTTCTAAAATTTTATTTTAGGGAAAAAAACTCATAAACGTGTCTCTGGGGTCGAAATATAGGTATCACTCTTCAAAATATTTGCAGTTATAGACTATTATTATATATTTGCAGACTCACCCCGTATAAAGAACAGTGATATACTTAAAAAAAACACATAAAAACCGCCTTTATTTTAGGAGTCGTAATGCCCTTTTTTTAGGAGATGCATCGGAACAGGGGACATACGAAATCCCATGTAAATTTTAAAAAGATCAAATATTTTTTGATCTTTTTAAAATTATCTCCACGTGCCCGGTGGCGTAGAGGTACAGGCTCTCGTCTACCAATCTCAAGGTAGTGGGTTCGAATACCACACCCGGCATTTCATCAGCCGACTATTTTTATTAAAATAAAAATAGTTTGGGTACCTAGGTCGACTCAGCCTTAAATGAGTACTTGGGATTCACAATCCTGAGGTAATAATAGGCGGTTGAAGCGTAGTGCTAGCCACATTACCTTCCTTGTATACCGAACGGCTCTAGTATGGCAAGCTGTACCTTGCTACTCCCAAGGCGTTAAACGCTATATACGGGAGCTATTATTATTATTAAAATTATCTCCCCAGATAATTTTATGCAAAAGTTGTATTAGACTTTTGTGAAGAGGCACTAAAATTGTTATTTTATCTAGAATTTCGTTTCATTTCGAATAGTAATTTAAAAGTTATTTGTGCAAAAATCTCCTTTCAAATTAATAATGTAGATGTCGATTTTCGAAAGAAATCAGAACATGTATATTATTTCGTATATTTTTCATTTTATTGATTTTATGGAAATTACTGTTCATTAAAATGTTGTATCCTATGTTATAGGGCTTGTTTCTCTCTACAATTTCCTGTCTCACAATGTACCGTTTGTGTCCAGGAAGGGTTCATATTTTCATAGATGTCGATTTTCGAAAGAAATCGGTACATTTATTTTATTTCGTATATTTTTCATTTTGCGGATTTTATGGAAAGCACTGTTCATTAAAATGTTGTATCCCATGTTATAGGGCTTGTTTCTCTCTACAATTTCCTGTCTCACAATGTACCGTTTGTGTCCAGGAAGGGTTCATGGTTTGATAGATGTCGATTAAAGAAATCAGAACATGTATATTATTTCGTATATTTTTCATTTCATTGATTTTATGGAAAGCACTGTTCATTAAAATGTTGTATCCTATGTTATAGGGCTTGTTTCTCTCTACAATTTCCTGTCTCACAATGTACCGTTTGTGTCCAGTTCATACTTTCATAGATGTCGATTTTCGAAAGAAATCAGAACATGTATATTATTTCGTATATTTTTCATTTTATTGATTTTATGGAAAGCACTGTTCATTAAAATGTTGTATCCTATGTTATAGGGCTTTTTTCATAGTTGTCGATTTTCATAACATGTATATTATTATTACAGAAATCAGAACATGCATATTATTTCGTATATTTCTCATTTTATTGATTTTATGGAAAGCACTGTTCATTAAAATGTTGTATCCTATGTTATAGGGCATGTTTCTCTCTACAATGTCCTGTCTCACAATGTACCGTTTATGTCCGGGAAGGGTTCATAGTTTCATAGTTGTCGATTTTCATAACAAGTATATTATTATTAAAGAAATCAGAACATGTATATTATTTCGTATATTTCTCATTTTATTGATTTTATGGAAAGCACTGTTCATTAAAATGTTGTATCCTATATCATAGGGCTTGTTTCTCTCTACAATTTTCTGTCTCACAATGTACCGTTTGTGTCCAGGAAGGGTTCATAGTTTCATAGATGTCGATTTTCGAAAGAAATCAGAACATTTATTTTATTTCGTATATTTTTCATTTTATTCATTTTATTCAAAGCACTGTTCATTAAAATGTTGTATCCTATGTTATAAGGCTTGTTTCTCTCTACAATATCCTGTCTCACAATGTACCGTTTGTATCCAGGAAGGGTTCATATTTTCATAGATGTCGATTTTCGAAAGAAATCAGAATTATTTCGTATATTTTTCATTTTATTGATTTTATGGAAAGCACTGTATTGATTTTATGGAAAGGACATTAAAAAAAAAGTTACAATTAAAAATGCAAAAATGTGATTGTGTCATTGTCAAATTCGATATCACACTTTGTTTACAAAAGTTTGAAGGTACCAAATGGAGTAATTTTGTACAAAATAATTATGATTTTTGCTAACTTCGTAACTAACTAAGTTACGAAGGTATTTTGCTGGAAACAGTATTCCCACTGTGTTAGATTTGTTCACAGCTCAGTCTCCAAAAGGCCTATACCGAATAAGTCAACAGTTTAAAGAATAAACCAGAGATTTGAAACTAAAGACATGGTATTAAGCACATGGAAGTGTGAAGACAAAAATAACTGGACAGAAAGAAAACAACAATGACTTGAATATTCTTCATGTTGAAGAAAAGAAAAACATTGATCTCTTGAAGGACATTGAACTCTCGTCTATTGGGATACAGTAGAAAAAGACCACAGGATCTTTCGCCGAACAACTTCTTCCTGCCTTTTTATGGCGTGCTCTACAATAATTATACTTATGTACCTTTAAAAAATTTCGTTACAGTCTAGACCGTCCTAGTTATGTCCCAACTAGCAAAACCGGTGCATAAAACTATGATAACTACCGTAGTTGAAGCAGTCGGCGAGTTATTACTAATCTAAAAAGTTATATTAGCTTAGCTTGAGTACCTAATAAATTATAATACATAATACACGTTAGACCTTCTGAAGATATTAGAATTTTTACAAATTGCACTTTCTAATACTTGTCAAATAATATTATAACAAATTTTACGTATACTCGCCATGTAAACCCGTGTATTTGTTTAATTTGCTGTTTACGGTATTCTCCGATGGTGGCAGTACCGGCGGAGAATGTACCAAGCCTATACCAAAATTTACAAAATTAAAAATATTTTCATTCTGTAAACTTTGTCTATACTATTTGTCTGAGGCCAACTCTTTCAACAACATCTTGAACAATTCCGTTATTTACTTATGACTGGTAATCAAAGACTGTTAAAAAGTATTCTATCTGTTTATTTAGGATGGATTTTAATAGAGCAGGCCCTTAAAAAGGTTAGACTTTACATTTAGTAACTACATATATGTATTAAAAAAACTATACAATATTTTTTTGATCTATGTCTCTTTCTAAGAAATATTTGAACAGGTGTTTGAAGGTGTAGGAACGAATGATTTACACAAGGTTACGATCTGTGGTTCTTTAGCGTAGGCCCACGAACAAAAAATAGATATGTATGTATATCCAACAATTAGCACGAAAAATTGGAGCCCCCACAATACGTACCGGCTTTTATAAAAAAATATAATATATTTAGTTATACAACTTATTGTCCCATATAAATTGCGATCATGATTTGTCAGAAACAGAACATAAGGCCGGTGAACTTGAAAGAAAAAATATGCCGCCCATATTGAAATAATCGAAACAAAAATAAATGCAATTAAATAGAATAATGAAACAAGTATAACAGCTTATAATATCGTTGTTAGGTAGTGAAGGCAATATAATTCAATAAAAAAAAATGCATTTTTTTATTGAATCAGCATTTCTTTCTTATACAGGGTGGCGCCACTCATACGCCGCGGAGGCTCCAAGGAGAACGACAGTTTGTATTGAAGTGAAATTTTGTGAACATATATGTAGGTTAATTCAGAGCACTTTTTAAAAATATAGAGGATTCTACAAGGTGTCCCCAAAAAAGGTACATATCAAAGTTGTGTTTTTTGTAATGGAACACCCTATATACTAATTGATTTTCGGATTCTGGGAGAAAAATAAAGGTGAGTTTTATAAGAGAAGTATATGACTGAAATGTAAGATTTTTGACATGTTTAACATTTTCTAAAAATAAAAAAAATAATTATTTAAATTACAATAAAAGCTACCTAAATTGGAATTTACCCGGCATAACCTAATATGTAGTTAAATTAACTATTGTACTGTAAATCAAATTAAAACTTGATCCAAAAAGTTATACACGGTGAGACAAAATTAATATTGAACAATGGTCACCTTTAAAAGTATGTTACTCTTTTATATTAAATGGAACACCCAGTATATTATTTCGATATTCAATGGAGAATTCATGTCTCTTCAAAATACTATTAAGGTTGCCTACCCCTCAAACAAAGATTTTCCTAGATATTTTCATTTACATGATTTGATCTGAGTAGATATTTATTATTTGATAAAATCTAGGTGGCTGTGATATGTCTGACGTTACTTCAACATAGCTGTCTAATTAGTCCAACTTTAACAACTAGTTATCATTTTGTGTCAGTGAAAACAAAAAAAATTCTCAGAAATTTGCCGAAAATGCAAACTTATCCTACATCAGAGAGAATTGATATGATTCTATTAGTTGCTGAAT